GAAACTAAGGAACACACAAAAACCCAACGAAGACCGAGTGAGGGAGAGAGGTACATATATACCTAGGGCACCAGGTGGCACGAGTCAGACTAACGAACAGGTGATCACAGGTCAAAGGTGAGTGTGACAACACTGGTTACCCAGGGGCAGAGAGGTAGACAGACATTACAAAACAAACTGATAACACAGCGGGAACCGTCCCTGAGAGGTGAATCACATGTCCAAGGTCTGCTGTAAATTTTGATCTCACATGTACATCATGACCCTAATGAGGTATGCCGCCCCCAAAGAGGAGACTGTGAAAAATTAACTACACGAACAAGCATACGTAAACAATAACGGCAGCTGTGCTTGGCCCTGGTGAGTACACAATGTTTGATTCACTTCTGTGAACACAGCATATTTTAGCTTGCTGCTAATTAGACACAGTTAGTACCCTCATTCATCTCCATCAGCCACTCCACACATTGCTGTGTGTGTGTGTTTATGAGCTGACATGCTGTATGAGAACAAAGAAGATGAATCTTAATGACCCCCAGTGACCTCTTCTTAATGATTCTTTTCTTGCAACAGCTCATTATATTAGCGCACGATAGTTTACCCGATGCTGTTGTAACTCCATGCACACACACACATGAACTGTATGTCTTCGCTGTTGAGGTGATTGACAGTGAGCACAGACAGTGGTGATTGATTAGAGAGCCGTATTACTGACTTTCACGTGAGAACGTGCATGTGATTACTGTGGCTTGAATTTAAAAAAAAAATGATAAACTCCAATGGTAAACCACTATTCGCATGGGGATTTTTATGTTTGTAAACATTTGCGATGTACAAACCTCGAAGCAAACACACCAATCTGTAAAACGTCCTACGTGTATTTGTATATATCCAATAAGTCCAATATTGGTCAAAATTTCGGGATCGAACGTTAAAAAATAAACAAAAAAAAAACTATAATCCGTCTGATCTGATAACTAAGCCCAAATGCTCAACTTAACTTTGTGTGACATGCTATAAACGGGGACCATGGAGGAGAAAAGATATCGGATTGATTTTGATATTCCACATTTCCGGTATGAAAAATATGTCATAACCATAACCCATAACCTTAATTAAACTTAATTTCCACCGCTGCCCCGCTATATCGGTATTTGTTAATATCGGAAATGAAGTGTTTGGACAATATCGGCCAAAAAGTTAATATAGGACTTCCCTAACTTTAATGTTAGTTTTCAAATTCCGAGTATTAAATTGCAGATAGCACTTTGCTCTAATGGTTCATACATTTACAGCTTCCAACTATAATATGCACTTCCTGCTATTAAAGTCTAGATAAAAGCCCCATATTTAACATCTCAGATTTATCAACTGTTGTAAAGATCACAGAAATATGAGTCGCTTTATCAAAATTTTTATCCCAATGTTCAATTATTAATTCAGCTTCCAAGTTGCACTATATATTAGATCAATGATGTTAACTTGATGTCATAACCAATTGACCCTCTGCAGCATTCATTTTAATTTTCAGGTCCAGCGAGTTCATGAGTAAAAATGTCAGCACTTGATAATCCTCAGCCATCGCAGGGAAACTGGAGGCAGAAGTGAAAGACTAATGATCTCCCCACTCTTTGGGAACTATTGCCAGGCTGCTCTGAGAGGAGTGTTAACATTAAGCAGCTTAGCTACAAGACGGAGTGAGCGACTGTCGTGTGTGCCTGTGTCTGCTGGAGCTACAGGCACTGCTTATTAAAGATTTATGTCCTGAAAAGTCACAGTTCTCTGCAGACTGTCACCTATTTATGGAACATAAATGCAGACGGGGACAAAAAAAACAAAAAAAAAGGGCTTACAGCGTGTTTCCTTTAGGACAACTTGGCGTAATTAAAACCGCCAAAAAATATGAATAAGGTTTAATTTTCTTAAAGGGGACATGTGCAAAGGGGATTTTGTCAGGGATTTGGTTCACGCATCAGTTTCTCTGCACTGTGTGCCGACTTCTTAAGTGACAGTTTCGACAACTCAGTAGATGTTTCATAATATGAGAAGATGTGTATCTCAAAACCAACCATTCTATTTTCACCCACTTAGTGATGTCACAAATCTGGTTATTATAATAACCATGCCCCAACCTATGGCAGCTTTACCCAAACTACCACATCTGCCTGTATGCGACTTTGGACCTTTGTCGTGTACTAACCAAAAGGTAACTGCTCATTTAGCACAGCGCTAATAAACACGGGCTATATCATGTAAAAACTTGAGTCAGTACAGGAGACAGCCGGGGAGGCTACAAAACTATGGTGTGTCGAAAAAAGTCATAACAGCTCATTAAGGCAGAGGTGTCCAAAATTTCTGGGGCCTGAGTTAATGAGATTAAAATGTGTGTGTGTGGAGTGGAGAAGCGGGGGGGCAGCGGGGGGGTACTTATCCTGACATTAACATGAAATGCAAATGAAATATTTTTCTTTGAAAATTTTCATCCTCACGCAGTTCTTGTTAAAATTCATAACCCCAAAAAAGTGGGTTGGGAAAGGTCACGTAAGGGTCATACAGTACCATGAGAGTGCATCCACAGGTCTGCTGCCATTTACTGATGACATAAAATATGTGTGTATTTGTACATGTATATTTTATCCTGCGCTAGTGGGTCACGTATTAGAGATTTTATGATTTTATGCTCTGGAAATTTGA